GCATTGGGTTGGGATGTTTTCGTGATGCACCTTTTCTTTACATAAAACTCTCTCTTATACATGAGTTGCTGTGGATTTGTTTATCTAAAGTACCTAAACTATTACAGGCCCTGACTTCCCCCTCACTCACAGAACCCAATTTTGTTCAGGAATGAGGCTGGTACCGAGGGAAAGTTTAGGGAAAGCAGCCCTGGTCCTCTTCCTAGAAAATGAACCACCAGTGGTCTCAATCAGTCAGGAAAGCCCTCTGCTAGTGACTGGCCCCTACATAGCCATGTGGCCAGTCCTGGGGCACCCCCCCCTACAGGCTGCCACCCTGTAGAAGACTATTTGTCTTCTTCTCTGGTTGGGGGCCATGGTGTGAGGGTGTGAGAGTGGAGAGTATGATGCGACAAAGGACAGGGGGGTTGCAGAGCGGCCAGGATCCACCCTTCCTTCAAGTGCCTGCCTGTAAACTTCTTATTGTATGAGCTCATCCGGCGTGTTATACGCGACTGTGAGTCAGACTCTCTCTTCCTTGCAGCCAAACATTCCGAACTAGGACGATGTGCTAGTTGCGGCGGCCATTCCTCAAGATATCACTCCATCATCACTTGCATTTCTGACACCTACGTAAGCTTTCTACATTTCTTCAGAAAGTTGGGCTAAAAGGCCGCCCAACGCCAGCCAGAGCGCCCTGCAGGAAACAACAGACCCTGAAGAGCAACAGAGGCGCCAAACTCCCAGAACCCACGAGGATTGTAAAGACTCTTCAGAGGGCAGTGTGACGAGGAAGGCAAACCACGCCCAGTGGCTGCCCCAGGCCAGGGCGAGAGGGCTGGGATATGTGTACCAGGGCTGAGAGCTAAGCCTGGGTTCCAATGTGGACACCTGCTGCCTGGCTTTAAGCAGGTTACCTTACCTCGCTGAGCCTCAGCTACTTCATTTGTGAAATGGGCATGTAGTTGTTAGTGAGGATGGGATGGGAGCCACCCAGGCGGGTTCTAACCCCAGCATCCAAGCCTGCATTTGGGAAATGATGTCCACGTGTGAC